TATGTTTTTTCTCATTTGTAATAAATAATAAGAACTTTAAAGTCATCATTTTGAAGTCTTTGTTTATTAAATTAAGTTTAATGTTCCAATACAGATTTCTCATTGAAGGTATGCACATTGATTTATTGGAAATAACAATTAATTTTTCCTGAAAAAACGGAGTGTAGCTTTTGATTAAGCACAAAAATATATTAAAGCCTAGAAAGTTTGACTTGAAGTTTATATGTTTTCTAAAATAACTTCATGTTGACATGGATATTGTTAATTGATGAAAATATGATGTGCCAATTGAATGTGATTGAGTACATGTCCTAATCCTTCAACTTATTTATCCTTTGCCTAGTTGTGAAAATGAAGTCCTGCATATATAAAGACAGCAGATAATTTGAGCTGCAACTAATGGTCTGCAATGAGCTAGTTTGGTTTCAAAAAAAAAGCAAATGTCTTTATTTAGTATTGATTGCAAATTACTCTGTAAGCTTGAAAAAATAAACTTGTGACTAATATGCAATAAATTTACCACCTCACTAATTTTAGTATGGATTGGAGAGAATCCTGGAAGAAGAACAAAGTATATTCTTGCTGGCCAGAGCTGTTGATCCTAGGCAGCCTACCATGATGACAGATGCAATCAAGCTTTTATCAGCAATTTGTATTGTTGGAGAAGAAAATATGTAAGTGGATTTTTTTTTTGTTACTGCTATTGAATGTAAGTTTCACAGGAGGCAACGTTGCAATATTGGACATTTGAAGAAATAATATGCGTTAATTGTATCTGATACCTGAAAGCATTATTGTGATGTGGTGATATTTATTTTTAACAGAAGATTTATTCCATTTGTCAAGGGACATAGTGGTGATTGCATTAATTGGGCTTGTTTAAAATGCTTTGTGATGATGTAAGGACAAAGGAAGAAAATTCGTACATAATTCCCGCAGTGATGTGATTCTTTATACTGATCTTTCCTCCACTAGATGAGTTTAAAGTTAATGTTAATCCACTCTGTTTTAAATTCCCATTATACTTGTTGTTGACGCATTAGTTGTGCTTTTAGCATGTTTTTGCAGTTTGCATCCATTTATCATAATTCGTATTCAAGTGTTTTCTTCAGTCTATATAGAATCACAGAAACTTAAAATAATAAAAGAGACAACTTGATCTATTATGTGCCAGCCCACTAGTAATCATCCAGCCTTATCCAACCTACCAGCTCTTGTTCTAAAGCTCTGTAGGTTACTACACTTCAAGTGCATGTTCAATTACTTTTTAAATGAAATACAGATTTCTACCTCTATCAAGCTTTCAGACAATGACAATGTGGTCCTCACCCACATCCGAGTGAAAATCTTTCTCCTCGAATCTCCTGTAAACCTCATACCGCTTAGCCCTGGTTATGGACCTTTTGATGAAGAGGTATAGGGCATTTTATCCTCTCTATCTAGACCCCTCAAGTTTTTAATCTTTGATGTGTTTCTCCTCAACTCCTTTATTCCCAAATAATGACCTTACCCCATCCAATCTTTCCTTACTGCTAAAATTCTTCAGCCCAGGTATTATCATCCTAAAACTGCCTGTACCATCTGAATGACATTACTCTTTCCTATTGTGTAGGGACCTGAATTGCGAATAGTGCTCCAGCTTTGGCCTAACTAGTGTTTTATGCAGTTTGACATAACTTCTTTCTGTCTATGTCTTGACTGACAAAACAAGCATCCATTTTGTCTGCTTCCTCAAGGATCTGTGGACACACACTCCACAGGTCCTCTGTCCGTTTATTCACGATAGTATCTTTCCATTCATTGTAGATGCCGTTGCTGCCTTTACCTTACTGAAAAGTTTGCCCTCAATAAAAGTTCTTGAGTTTTGACCATTGATAGTTGATATAACGTTGATGTAAGAGGAAGTTGATATGTGGTACACAAATTAAGTTATCTTGATACTGTTATCTTTTAGAATATTTATAAGAGTAATTTTGTTAGTTTCTCCAAAGCGGAGATTGATTTGACAGTCGTAGTTATAGATTTTAGGATATTTACTGATTAACTCATGGTTTAGCATGCTTACAGTGATAATATGCTAAATATATATTGACTATCAGCTCAATATTTGAAAGAGGAAAGATAATGAAAAGATGGATGTGTAGTTGGTAAATCAGTATTTAGAAAGTAATTGGAAAACAAATTAACATACAATGTTAACACTTTTGGTTTATAAATTATTATCCATGTGTTATTAATTGGACATGAATTATTTTAAATACAATTTTGTCATAAACTGTGATTTGAAAAATCGGGGAAAAAAAGAAATAAATATGTAATAAAAGGAAGAGACAGTGAGTACTCCTTCAAATGGAAAGACTCCTTCAAATGGAAAGACCCCTTCAGGGTCCTTGTCTAAGCACTCTGAAACAAAATTATAGCACAAATAATGTGCAATGTCTTTTAAAGAATATTCATAGCTTTATTTTCACAATTGAATTGCAGAGCATTGGTTAGAGTAGTCGAATGTGAAAAGTGAGTATGGACACAAATCCAATCTAGGCAAAACCACTTTTTTTTTTAACCCTCCTCAAGAGCAAGTGAAATATATTCTAGTGGGCAGTTTGGAAGAAAATCAGATGCGGTAACTTAGTAAGAAATAGAAAATGTGGTTTTGGAAGGTCAACATCCTGTCTGAAAACTTTTGTGATTAGTTTTAAAAATGCTGTATAATCCAGTTTGTTTATGTTGTGGAATCACTTTTGATGAAGTTCCAAAAGAAAGACTTCCCGTGAAATAAAATGCCACAGAAATCCAGAGAACAACATGAGACTGACCTTTGACAAAGGAAGGTTGAAAGAGCTTGAGAGGTGTTGTACTAAATTTAGGAGAAATGTTTTGGGATTTTGCAAGTTACAGCCCTTAGACTCATATTACGTAAATGATGATTGATCATGATTATAGGCTGATCATATTTGCTGCTCATGTCAAAAAACGAAAAATAAAAAGGAAAATTGATGCAGATATCATTTGGAAAATTGTGCTTCTGCAATTGCCAAAAAATCTAACAGCTAGTTCTTGCTCTTGGATTGACCAGGTATGGATTTATAGCAAATTAAACTGTGATAAGTGGGTGCTTTCTGGTGTAGCGGTAATAGATATGTCAGGTAAACATGAAAAGAGGAACTTGGGAAAAAGAGATTTGGAATGGATATCAAGACAGAACTATGAAGCAAGTTCATCAAGTGCAAAACATTGGTGTTGTCTGAAGTAAGATCAGATATTACCGTTAGAGAATTAATGGGCTTGAGAATGTGCTTAATAACCTGTTCTCATTTCTAACTTTTGTTGGTATGCTGCTTTGACTTCCAAATAGGAAAGGTTATTCCTCATAACCTACAAGGTGAAAATCAATTCTTGTATGACATTAAAACATGTCCCTTTGATATACCGCTCTCCTTTAATAGTTATACGTGGAGAGAGAGAGAGAATATTTCTAAGTTGTATGACTCTCTAACTCTAACCTCTAACAATGGGCCAGAATTTCCAAGGAATGGCAGTCTCACACAGGTGGCCCCTGTGTGTGTCAAGTAAATAGGAAGCCAAGTGGGTAGAGGGTAGGTTGCCAGGATGCCATCTGGGTAGGCGATTAGAGTGCCAGGCGACCAAAGGCTCAGGCAAGTGATGTGTAGTGTTTAGTGTAGGCTGGAGTGATTATGAGAAACCGAGTCTCATGGGGGAAGTTGGGGTAGGGTCCCAAGAGGTGGACTGAGACCTGGGGAGGTTAAGGAGGTCAGTGATGGAGCGGTGTGCATGCAGATCAGTTTTTGAACAGGGAAGGGGCAGGTCAGGAATGTGTTAGAGGAGGTACAAAGTGGGTTGCAAGCATGCCCCAGGGGTTCAAGGGGGCCAAGGCAGTGAGAGAGGAGAATATACCCTCCCCCCACTCCAGATTTACAGTGGAAGAAGTGGTTCAGGTCTGGAGAAGGTGAAGGAGTGTTGGCTCCTGAGAAGGTAAAGTGGGGTCTGCTGCAGAGTGGGGGAAGGAGTTCAGGTTCAGAGAGGGTGGGGTGCAGGAGTGAATAGGTCAAGAGCTGTTTGGTCAGGAACAGGTGAAGACAGATTGACTCCTAGGGATGAAGAAGGTTCAGCTAAGGAGCAGAGGGAGACATCAGGCCCAAAACTGGGGAAGGCGGTTTTGCTCCTGTATGAATCAGATCAGCATCCTGGGGAATTAGGGTTTGTGAAGTAAGTATGGGATCAGCTGAATAATTACTCAAGAATTAGACAATGTAGCTAATAGTCTAACTTTTCATGAGTAACTAATCATTTAATTTCATTGGAACCTTCTGAATTCTCTGATTTAAATGCAGACTTCTGGAGGTTTCCTGACAAAGAGAATTTGCTCAGTGAAATCTTCAATTTCCTGGGCAATCCCTTTGGAGAGTGCTGTGATGGGGATTTCACAGGAACTTTGGATTCATGACTGTCTGGCCATTGGAAAATCTGGACCAATGTACCTCTGCTTAATGCATGTTTGTCCCACCTCCAATGCTTCCATCTATTGTATTATTAAAATTTTTGGTTGCACTTTAGATGCCCATTTTAAAAAGTTTCTTTAATCATATAATATATCAACAACGTTGTACGCGGTTTTGTTTGTATTTGACACTGTTGTTAAATTATCTTTAAGCCTTGAAAACATTTTGGAAGCCATAACTACAGCAGGGGAATTAAGAAAATGGGCAAGATTCTACCCCATTGTGGAAGGTCTACGTGACACCTCTGTTCAATTAAAGGTTTGTCTACACTTGAGATGGCATGATTGGATATGGCATACGTTCACCTTGCTTACTGAATCATCTTCAACTGACTACTTTGAAGCATTGTGCTGTCATGCATTCAAGACTTCAGAAATTGAAAGGGAAATTTAACTGAATGCAGTTGGTTCTTTAGTTGAGTGCTACTGGGCCCGGGTGATGTGAAGATTGGAACACGGAAGTTCAGAGTCTGATTGTCCATCATTAATTTAAATGTTTCTCTGTTGTATTGTTTTTGTTATGAACTGAATCATCTGTTTTGACACTAAGATGCAGTGAATTTTGATATAATGGGCACCAGGTCACATTTACTTTTATAGACCGGAGGTTTCACAGCTATGACTTAGTCATAGATTCCTACAGCACAGAAACAGATCCTTCGGTCCAACTAGTCCATGCGAAACATAACTAACAAGTCCTACCTGTCTGCTCCTGGCCCATATCCCTCCAGCCTTTCCTATTCATGTACTTATCCAAATGTCGTTTAAATGTTGTAATTATACCCACGTTCACCACTTCCTTCTCAGTCCCTTTCTCCCAGTGGCTGAAGAGCTCCTTCCAGAGTCACATTGTGACTTTTGCTTTCAAATGGTATTTGGTGCATGGTAAGTACAAGTTAAGTGCAAGAAACAGCATTGACTGCTGTACATGGCTAATTTTGATTTTTAAAAAGAAAACTTGAACTCTGACAGTGCAAAAACTAAAGAAGTATCCCTCTCAAATTTGGTTTCACTCGGAAATTTGTCCACTCCTCCGCTTAGTCCACAATGACATAGAAACTGTGACCCTGACCATCAGAAATGCCACAGAGTCTATCTCAATTAAGGTTGGGGGCATACAAGATTGTGTGTTGAGCCAACTCTCTTCTTCATTTGGCTGGTGGCGATATTACATCTCACCTCAAATTCCCCATTGCTAAGGTGATAATCTAAACAGCAGATGGGAAAATGACCAACCTGTTCAATCCAAAGCAGAATCACTAACCCTAACCCTAAACCTGAGCTTTCGTATGCAAATGATCTTTGTGTGTGCAATAACTCGGAAGCTGAGCTTCAGATCATTGCTGACTTCGCTGAAGGAAATGGAACTTCCACTAAATACCTGTTAGACTAAAGTCATCTTCCAAGTAACTTCTAGAGCAAAATACTTTGTCCCGTTGGTAGAGATCCTGGAAAATGTGGACCGTTTTTCATCTCTTGAGAATCTATTCTCTACAAAGGCTGACAAAACAATAAAATTCATCTGTACTTCTACTGTGCCACTGATTGAGCAAAAGCATATTTGAGGATTAGGATTTCCAACCTGAAAATGAGCTCATAGTTTGCTGCGCAATAGATGGTCTGTGCACTTTTGTATGTTTCAGACTTGGACAGTTTAGCACAGGCATCTGAAAGTACCTGAGAAGTACCAACACTAGTGCCTTTGCAAAATCTCCCAAATCAAACAAGAAGTCATATAAAAGCAGTATTCTCTCCCAAACTAACATGCCTAGCACTGAGTTGCTAATCTGGAATTAAAAGCCAATCTAATTGTAACCATATCAATTATTGTAAAAGCCCATCCAGTTCACAAATGTCCTTTAGGAAGGAAATCTTCCATCCTTTCCTGGTCAAGCTTATGTGTGATTCCAGACCCATAGCAATATAACTGACTCTTAACTGCCCCCTGGAATGGCTGAGTAAGCCACTCAATCATGTGAAAGCATTACAAAGACTAAAACCAAAACGACAACCTCACATCAAAAAGAAAAATAGCAAACACAATCATGCAATGCCAGCAAATTCCTCCTTCTCAATATCAAGGTTTTTTTTGTTGAAATTGGAACAGCTGTCCCATGGACTAGTCAAGCAACAGCCTGACATTGTGGGAAGGTATTCTGTGAATGAGACTGTGCTAGACATCACCATCACCATCGCTGCGTATGTCCTTGACCACTGACAGGACAGATCTACCAAAGGTGATGACTCAATGGTATAGAGTTGGGAAGGAATCCTTACCATTTGCTTAGGAAGCCATGAAGTCTAATAACCACTGGTCAAACAAGGGCAAGGAAAACTCGAGCTGATGATCACCTATGACCCACCTTGGCTGATGAATAAATACTCTGAATGTTGAACACCCTGGATGAAACACTGTAGGTAGCAAAGGTACAGAATGTGCTCTGGGTGGGAGACTCCAGTGTTCACCACAAAGAGTGGCTTAGGAAGCATCAATACTGACCAAGCTGCTGAGTCCTAAAAGCTGTAGATAGTAAATTAGATTTGTGCGAAATGGTGATAGAAACACCAAGAGAGAGCATTTTGCCTGACCTGATCTTCACCAATCTACCCATCTCAGATTCAACCTTTGTTCAATGGAAAGTGCAAGCGGGCTTGCCAGGCTTACTCAATAATATGGTGCCAAACTGGTAGAGTTATTACATATGACTACTCACATGCTCAGGAGCAAATGCAGCGTGCGATGGAGCTGCAACCATTGGATTCTGCAATTAATGGATCAATTCTAAGCTCTGCACTTGGGGGCCACATCAGTTGTGAATAGTGGAGGACAAGTAAACAACTAGGAGGAGGAGGACACTCCATAAATAATCCATCTACAACAATGAATAAGTGCATCGCTTAAGAGCAAAAGACAAATTTGAAATACAGCAAACTTCGTTTTAACCAGGACCTTATGAACTGGTACGCTTAATAAACTAGCAAAAATTGTGTACCTCAAATACCATGAAGTTTACTGTTAATATGTCCAATTATTAGTTTTTTAAAAAATTTATTTACCTTAATGTAACAATACTTGTTCAATTGAATGGCCACACAAAATATCAATAGTTGATTCAGTTTCAAGTCAATTATTCCTCAAATATCATGATTTCCGCGATGTTGAGGATGCAAGTGAGAAAGCTCTCTGCTTGTAAATTTTATTTAAGGCAAAGTTATACTAATTTTTAAGCGAATTTTGCTGTAAATAAGGTATAACAGTGATATGTATACCTTGTATTATGTTTCTATTACTTAGTGTGCATTTTTACATTGTTTTTGTTGACCACTTGATTATCTGGAATGTTTGATCAGTTGGCACACTACTGGTCGCATAGGTGCCAGTTAAGAAAAAGTTTACTGTACTTGCATCCATCTTCGGCCAGAAGTACCGACTGAGTGATCTGATGCATCTTGATTGCAGTGGTTCAATATTGTGGCTCACTACCATCTTTTCAAGGGCAAATAGAAATGACAGGAAATACTGACCTTAATGCCACTCCTCTCTTGCAAACAAAAATAAAATCCAGTGCTTTAAACAAAAATAAAATCCAGTGCTTTTCCTTCTCTTGAACAGAGTCTATGTCTTAACTTGCTAGTTTCTCCCCATTGGTCACTTGTCCTTTCATGCATTTCACTAACCTCTTGCTGTAAGAAACCCACTGAAGATCACAAAACTATCAGTGATTATCATAAGAACCCAACTGTTGACTCGTGTCCTTCAGGAATGAAATTTGCTCTCCACAGCTGCTCAAGCCTTCATGCGCCTGCAGACCCACCGCAACATGGTTGCCCTCTGTAATGCCTTCCAAGCTACTCAATTAGGGATTGGGAAAAAAATGCTGATCTTGCCAGTGATGTCGACATCCCATGAAAGAACAAAATTTAAAAAAAGCCCTTAAATGATTTTTTGACTACCCATCTTGCCTTCTGTGCTTCTCGGATGTTCTGTCTAATTCTTTTAACTTAGGCACTGATCCCTCCCTTTTAAAGCTACTGCCCTTTCCTATACAGAGCAAAAATAATCTTCACTCACCTTTTCCTTGTGAACACCACCTAGTCTTGAACTCACATTCCTCTCTGAGGTTTTTGGTAACGGTGTTTCCTTGATCCATGCTGTTCGAAGGTTCGTTGCACATTTGATGGCCAAATCACCTCCTCCTGTACTGTAGGGATTCTATGATTCTAGATCTTATTCTTCACACAATCTAAAATTGCAGAGTTGTCTAATATCTCAGTTCCCAGCCATTCTCCAATCTCCTTTGCAGAACCTGTGTTTCATTCCCATCTTTGACCAAACCTCATTGCTTCATTTGTTCGATGTGGTACAGGGTCATTCTCACCTTTCCAAATAAGGCCTCGGGGTCACTGCTGGTTCAACCATATTGCATTTTTACAAACTTAAATCTGTCTGCTATATTGACATCCTGAGCCTCCTTATGTGTTTTTCTCTTCTTTTTAACTTGACTACTTTTCTTGAATAAGAGTAAATAAAAAAAATCTTAAAAACGATTTAAATGATTGTTGCTTATTAAGCTAACTAAAAGTCATTACTTCATTCTAATCCATGCCAACTCATGCCATGCCCAATATTTCTCCCCAGCAGCCTGCTGCTTTTATGCATTTAGCCTGCAAGTAGTCCTGTATTGCAGCTTTGTCAGGTCGACACACTATTTATAGCTATTGCTGGTATTGCTCCTGGCATGTAGTCCTGCAATTTTTATTGTCAAAGGTTGAACTCTCAGCTTGATGGTAATGGTAGCAATGGGCATGTACTGAAGTTTGATTGTAGTTGCAGATTGTAGTTGAAACCAAGAGACTTCAAGGGCTTTAGAGTCAATGTTAAGGATTCTCAAGGCAACTCCCTCCTGATTGAATATGATTGTCCCCCCCATCTCTCGTGGATCTGTCCTACCAGTTCGACAGGAGATACACAGGCATGTTGACTATGCTGTCTTGGACATAGTCATTTTTGTGGAATCATGATTTACACAGGGTCAGGCTGTATCTTGCCTAGCCTAGTGGGACTGCTCACCCAATTTTGGTACAAGCCTCCAGATGTTTGTAAGGAATACTTTACCAGATTGACAGGGTTGTGTTAGCCTCGTCTTTTCTTGTGTTTTATTCCTTACTTTGGACATTATAGTTGTTTTGTTACAACTGAGTGACTTGCTTGGCCATTTCAGAGGGTAGTTAAGGCTCAACCATCTTGCTTTGGATCTAGATTCACATGTCGGCCAGACTGGGTAAACACAGCAGATTTCCTTCCCTAAAGGGCATTAGTGAACCAGATAGGTTTTTATGACAATCAAGAATGATTTATGGTTGCAATTAGACTAACTTTTTAATGGAAGATATTTTATTGAGTTCCAATTTCACTGTCTGCTGAGATAGGATTCGAACCCTTGACTCCAAAGCATTAGCCTGGGCCTCTTGATTACTAAACTGACACTGATGGGGGAATGGACTTCACACAGATAACACAAAATGTGAATCTGCTCCTACGTAACTCTTATATACCACAAAGGTCCTTGCAGTAAGACTGGACAAACCACTGAGGAAAAAGAATGGGGTCAGTGCTGACCTCACAAGTACATGGATATGTGTGTAGTAAATAATTGGTTAATCAGGGTGAAGTGTTCTGCAATGACAATACCAATACACATTTCTGCCATTCCTAATTTATTTAATTTAAATTAAACAGTCAGAGCTTTGCCTCAATTTATTAGCTTCCACAATGTTCAATAATTTTGATTAAAACAATGATTAAGTCATTCAAAATATTACAGCCTTTTATGAATGTTTGTGTTAGAAGACAGAATGCGATGGTTCCATTGTGACCAGTCCATGTTAAGCACAGAGATACTAAATGTTGCATATACGGTTCCAAATTTCTGTTCAGTTTAATTTCTGCCTTAACCCTGACCTCAACATCATTAGACATTCAGCTAGTGCGATATTGATTAATTTTATGCTTCAGAATTCCAACTCTATATTTTATCCCATATCTAGGTGGCTTGTATGCAGCTAATTAATGCACTTGTGACCACTCCTGATGATTTAGACTTGAGAATACACTTACGGAATGAGTTTGTGCGTTGTGGATTGAGAGAGATACTGCCGGTAAGAATAGTGCAAATTAATATTGGTTTATCCTGAAGAAATCTGCATGGGTGTGTTGACTTGCTAAGTGTCAGACAGCTTGGGTTACAAAGTAAATTGATGTAACTGTATGTAATATAGAATTAAAAAGTCTTTGGAGAGAGGACACAAACATTTGTTAATTTTTAGATCTTGAAAAATTAATTGTAAAGTTCAAAAGAACTAAATCAAAAAAATATTAATGGAAGGGAAGTAAGTATGTAATCATTATGGGTGAATGAAGGAAATGGAATTAAATTGGATAGAGGGAATTTGTTCGATCTTTTATAAAGAACAGTTCATACTGTCATTTAAGCTGCTGTTCAGTGCATCTCCTTACAGATCTCAAGAGATAGCGTGCTTTTTCTGCTACTTATCAATTGTGTGAGCTTCCTGATCCACCTCATACTTTGTGAATAAATGTTTCTTTCAGCATTGACGCTGGAAGGATATTTTATGTGATATAGTATCTTAAAAAAACTCAAAATATTCAGTTTGTTGAAGTATTGGTTTACCTCAGTGCAAATGCTATGGAACAGACTATAATGATAGTCATGGTCATCTTTAGTAATAGCTAATATTACAGTAACAGTCTTGTCTCAAATTGTTCTTCAATAGTTGGAGGTACAGGGCATTTACTACAGTGGTAGTACTATTTGAGTGACCTTCTGTTCATATGTTGACCAAAACTCAAAAGGATGGAAATGGGACACCGTTGAAACAGGAGTATGTATCATCTTCTTAGCTTGTTCTGCCATTCAGTTAGATTATGGCTAACTTGTGCCTAAATTCCATCAACCTGTTGCGTAACCCTTAACATCTTTACCAAACAAAAATCATTCAATCTTGATTTTATGAAGTGGAGAGATACTGTTCAGTGAAGGTAATAAGAAGAAATGAATATTGTTTATCTTAAAATAGAGAAAGCAAAAAAAAATTATTGAGATGACTCTCAATATGTGAGTCAGTTTTCTTTTGTTGCTGTCCTTTTTTCGACCCAACAGTAATATTAATGGCTTATCCAGCTGATTTGGCTAGTATTGTGAACATTAATGACATCTGTCTCTAAGATGCTAAATATGATGCATGCCCGATGTTGAGTTCTACATTTGTTTTAATCAGCTTACCATTGGTTCTTTCCATTGCTTATGTCTCTGTTGCCCATTCTAATATGTGAACAATGTTTCTAACATTAACATTTAGCCAGCAAGAAATTGTTTCAGGTTCTAAAAAATAACAAGAATTTGGTCTAAAATTCAAATTATGCATTCTCAGTTACTTGCAATGCAATTTTAAATTAAGTTGATGTGCATACAGAAGTCTTTGAAATACTAAAAGATTATTTCCTGTTAATGCTCCTGTACTGCAGGTTTAAATAATGAGTTAATTTCACAAGGATATTAATTTCTCTCTCTTGTGCTATATGAATTGGGCTGAAATTATTATTTTTGCTAATTTGTTTTCACAGGAGTTGAGATTAATTGAAAATGATGCATTGGACATCCAGCTAAAAGTATTTGATGAGCATAAAGAAGAAGATATGATTGAGCTTTCACATCGCTTGGATGATGTTCGATCTGAACTAGAATATCCTTTTATTGTAGAATAAGATTTCCATAATCATTCTGTAAACTGGCATATTACAGGTAAAAGTTAAAAAGTATCATCTGTAATGGTTTATCAAAGTGTAAGTATTTCAAGAAATATATTTATTTGGAAAATGCTCAAGGTTATGTTCCATTTCACAAACGAGAACAGCCGTACTCTGTTGTCTACACAGCAAGAAGCTTTTTGAGTTTGTCACAGTCCCATCTGTAATATTAAACTTTTAGACAAAACTAAAAGCCCAAAATCAGGACTGGCAGGATACATAATTTAGATGTTTTGGACTACATGCGCCTGTTGTTTTTATTTTCAGTTATTTTCAGAAACCTTGATCGTATTAAATACTCTCAAGGTCAGAAATTGTTTAAAGAAATTAATTTCAAACCAGCTATTTCTAAAATGAACTGGGAAATACAGCAAGTTTATTCTTGATCTTAATGCTGAAATTCTGAATGTTTTAAGACTCCATGAGCCGGTGAGACAAGATTTATTGAGTGGAGGAAAGACTTCCCTTGCTGAGTGAAATTCTTTTGAACTCTTTGTTGTAAAGATATTCTTTATTAGTAAAGCAAAAAAAAGTGGTAATAAGTGAAACCAGTTAGAAATTAGAAACTTTTTGTAGTTAAGTGAAAGCTGTGGAATAAGACAATGCTTTGACTAACCTTCAATCATGCTGCAGCTTACTGATTCAAACAGTCAATCAAAGACCCATTGCCAGTTTACAGATTCTAACCAGTAGCTTTTGCTTACTCGAGGGTAAAAAGCAATCATATCTGTTGTTTCAATTCCGGTAATTTAGTGCTGTGGATCATATGGCACAGCGAGCCATATCTCATTTGATTCCAGTTGCAATGAAAGTTTCTTTTCTGCTTGGTTTGAGCTATTTAAGTTTAGGTGGTTTGAGCAATCTCAACATAGTTCCCAATGAATGAAAATTCATGCAATAAAATCCTACCTTTTGTGGCTATATTGTTGTTTCACTCGAGACATTGTTAAGTGTTTTTGAAACTAAAAACAGAAACTAACATTGGTGCAAACGGACTTTTCCTTTGAAGATGATCAGGGATGCAGTTCAACTCTGCTTCACTCTGCATCTGATGCTTATCCTGCATAGCACAATAGAGGCTTTCCATTTCCGGAACACTGAAGTGTTTTTAACCTGGTTATTGGTGTCTAATGCTTAGTCATGTACCAGATTCAGCAGCAGACACTGACCTTTAAATGTATGCCATTGATGTTGCTGTCCGTTACTTGCAGAATGAAATTTACTGAGAGCCATGGGTTTCTGCCATGTGCCTGAACAGGCAAGTGTTTGGGCACATAGGGCAAGGTAACTCTATGAGGTGGTGGAACTAGAGTGCAGGATTTGTTTCCTTTTTTTTCTTTCTCTGCCACTGTTCTTCAGTATCATTAATATATTGTGATTCAAGCATGATGTAGCTTGATGTCTGAGTTGTAGCCATTCTTAATGATTAGTATCAAGCTTCTCCCAGTCATAATGACGATGCCATAAAAGTGTTTAATGATCTAGCCTCCACTGCTCTCTAGCAACAAGAGTTACAAAGATTAATGACCTTCTGAGATACAAAGAAGTTCCTTCTGGCCTTATGTGGATGGCCTTTATTTTTACACTGTGCCCCTAATTTTAGTCTCTTGCATCTGGGAAAGTATTCTTTCAGCATTGACTCTGTCAAGTCCCCTCGGGATCTTACATGTTTCAATAAGATCACCTCTTATTCTTCTGAAGTTGAGCGGATACAGGCCCAGTCTGTTCAATCTTTCCTCATAACAATGACATAACCTGCATATGAGTCGTGTGAATGTTCTTTGAATTGTTTCTAGCACCTTGCTGCCCTTTTGGAAATATGCTGATCAAAATTATACAAAGTACTCTAAATGTGGCCTCACCAACACTTTGCAACTCCAAATCACTTGCTATAACTGTACTTTTCCTGATGACTAAGGTCCTGCTAGCTGTTTTGTAGTTATACTGTTTTCTTGCCCTTCTGGTCTCCTGCCCTCTCACTCCTTTCTTCACTGTTAATTCTACTTCTTCACCTGTTCCCTTTGTTTCTTGATTCCCTGAAATACCAAAAATCTATTCCAGCCTTGAATATAATCAGTGATGGTAACACCATTAAATATCAAAGGGCAGTGGTCTCTTATTGGAGATGGTCATTGCCTGGCTTTGTGTGGTACAGATGTTACTTTCACCTGTCAGCCCAGGCCTGGATATTATCCAGAAATTGTTGCATTTAAACATGGACATTAAACATGTTTAACTGTTTGAGGAATCACAAATGGTGCTGAATATTGTGCAATCATCGGTGAACATCCCCCTCTCTGACCTTATGATCGAGGGAAAGGTATTTGACGAAGCATCTGAAGATGATTGGGCCTAGGGCACTCCCCTGAGGAACTCCTGCAGAGATGTCCTGCAGCTGAGACAACTGACCTCCAACAACCGCAACCGTCCTCCCATGTGCCAGGGATGGCCCCAATTAGTGGGAGTTTGCTACCCATTGATTCCGGTTTTGCTTTGTCACTTTGATGCCAGACTCGGTAAAATACAGCCTTGACGTTAAGGGCTGTTGCTCTAACCTCATTGCCATGTAAAACATATTTGCCGAATGTAGATGGAGTATTTGTGCGACTGCATTCATAATGTCCCTTAGAACCCCCTCCAACAACTTACCCACCACTGACATAAGGCTCACTGGTCTATAGTTCCTGGCTTTTCCTTACAACCTTTCTTAAATAATGGTACCATATCAGCCAACCTCCAGTCTCCTGGCACCCCACCTATGGTTATTAATAGCAAAGGGCCCAGCAATCTCTTCCCCACCTTCCCCGAAAGTTCTGGGAAACACCTGATCAGATCCCAGGGATTTATCTACCTAAATGCATCTTAAGATCTCCAGCACTTCCTCTTTGGAAATATGAAGCCTTTTCAAGATGTCAATATTTATTTCTCCAAGTTCCCTACCTTCTATGTCCTTCTCAATAGTAAATACTGACAAAAAATATTCTTTTAGTTTATTACCCATCTCTTATGGTTCCACACAATGATAGCCTCGTTGATCTTTAAGGGGCCCTATTTTCTCTCTTGTTACTGTTTTGCCCTTAATGTACTTAACACAATCTCTTTGGATTCACCTTAATTCTATTTGCCAAACCTATCTCATTGAATTCACCTTAATTCTATTGCCAAACCTATGTCATGTCCCCTTTTTGCCCTCCTGATTTCCCTCTCAAGTATACTCCTACTGCCCTTATACTCCTCTAGGGATTTGCACAATCCCAGTTGTCTATACCCGACATATGCCTTCTTTTTCTTGACCAGAGACTCAATTTCTCTAGTCATCTAGCATTCCCTACACCTACCAGACATCCTTTTCACACGAACAGGAACATACTGTCTCTGAACTCTAATTATCTTGTTCTTAGAAGCCTCTCACTTCCCAACTGTCCCTTTACCTGCGAATAGCCTCCCCCAGTCGACCTTTGAAAGTTCCAGTCTAATACCATCAAAATTGGCTTTACTCCAATATAGAACTTTAACTTTTGGATTTGATCTATCCTTTTCCATAACTATTTTAAAACTAATAGAACTATGATCACTTACTCCATTCACTGACACTCAGTCACTTGCCCTGCCTTGTTTCCCAAGAGAAGGTCAAGTATTGCTCCTTGTCCAGTAGGTATATCCACATATTGAATAAGAAAGTTTTCTTGTACACATTTAACAAATTCCTTTCCACCCAAGCCCTTAACACTATGACAGTCCCAGTCTATACAAAGTTAAAATCCTCTACTGTTACAATCCTACTTTTCTGACAGGTATCAGAGATCTCCTTAACCTATTTACTTCTCAACTTCCTGCTGACTATTGGGGAGCTATAATACAATCCCAACAAGGTGATCATCCCTTTTTATTCTTAATTTCCACTATAAAACTTCAATGGACAATTTCTCAGGAATATCCTCCCTAAGTACAGCCCGCAATGTTCTCCCTGACGAAAAACACCACTCCCTCTTCTCTCTCCTCCCTTTAGATCCTTCCAATAGCATCTATACCCTGGAACATTAAGCAGCTAGTCCTGTCCATCCCTAAGCTACATTTCTGTGATAGCTATGATATCACAGCCCCATGTTTCTGCCCCAAGGTCATCTGCCTTACCTGTCAGCCCTCTTGCACTGAAGTAATTACAGTTTAATTTATCAGTCTTACCTCATTCTCTGCGAAGATCTTGTCAACCTCGACTATCCCCTTGTCTACTGTACCAGCCTCAGCCTTTTCTCTTTTCTACTATTGCTTTGGATCCCCCCTTTCTAGTTTAATGACTCCCGAGTAGCACTAGCAAATTTCCCCGCAAGGATAGATTTCAGATTTAGATTTATTTACTTGTCACATGTATGAAGTATAGAAATATAAGTTCAGTGAAAAGTGCACAAAGTTGCCATTCACTGGCGCCCACTTGGTAACAAAAAACAGAATTAAAAGATTTAACAGAGCCAAAAGGTAAGCAAGAAAAAAAAGTCCAGATCTCAGAGTCCCAAGTCCCATCTCCACAATGGTACAGGCACCGCTCCAATCGCTAGGACACCTGCGCCGCCTCACCCTCTCGCTCTCACCGCCAACTGCTGCTGCCTCACCGTCCCGCTCTCGCCGCTGATTGCTGCTGCCATATTGGCCAACTGTTGCCGCTGGTGGGGGGTGTAGGATTACTACAGGGAGAAGAGAGGAGAGAGAAGAAGAAGTAAAAAGAAAGGGAAGGGAAAGGGAACTGGCAAGCAGAGTGGAGCTCGAGTGGAGTGACTTACCCTGCCACCATCTTGCAATGCTGTATCAGTCCCCTTCCAATTCAGGTGGAACCTGTCCTTCTCAAACAGGTCATTTCTATGCCTGAAGAGATCCTAATGATCCAAAAATGTGAATTCTTGTCTGCCGCGCCAGCTCCTCAGCCACATATTCATCTGCTCTATCCTCCTATTTGTGTTCTCACTAGCCCGTGACAATGTTAGTAATCCAGATAACCCTCAAGGCCCTACTTTTTAACCTCCTGCCTAATTTCCTATATTCTCTAAGCAGAACCTCATCCTTTTCTCTACCCGTGTCATTGATACCAACATGCACAATTACCTCCTGCTGGTCACTGTACCCTTTTGGAATATTCTGCACCCTCTCCAAGACATCCTTGACCCTGGCACCAGGGAGGCAACAGACCATCCTGATGGTCTTGCTGATGATAATTTTTGGAGAAAAGCTCATATTGATTGGCTGAAAATAGAACTTTGGAAAACAGTACGGGGAAAAATAATGGCAGACAATGGGAAGCGTTTAAAACAGTGTCTTTATACGAGACTGTAGAAAGGTTTTGGGAGAGAAATCAATAAACAGTTTGGAAGACAAAGAATATGTATCTCCTTGAAAACATTGAATGTTTGATCTTATCTGCTTTCTGCAGCAGAGAATTCTGTAGGCCCACTGTATGGGTGAACAATTTTCTCCTCATCTCAGTCCTAAATGGTCTACCCTGTGTCCTGAGACTGTCACCTCTAGTTCTGGGCTCCACGTGTCATTGGGAACATCCTTTCTATGTTCTTAATAAATATTACATTGAATGATGAGATGACTGATAGGATTAGTGCAGCTAAAATAAAAGGAAGAGAAATGTTGAGTAGCCTAATCAAACTCAAACGACAAAGAACCCCTGGGCTTTACCAAAAATCAGTTAAGTGTCATTATTGTGGAGTTTCATGGAGGGTTTCTGTCCGTGAGCACTAGTGGGTTAGACACACATTTCTCCACTGCTGTCTCATTTTGTATGCTTGTCACAGGCAGATGCATTCACTATTGTTGGATCTTCCAGGATTCCCACTCAGCCACCATCTTTAAACCCCAGCTATGCACTGGTTCTATTGCTGAAAGCCAGGGGCTGTCAGTCAAGGCTCCAGTGTGGAAAAAGTGACCCAGTGCCATTAATAACTTGACTCATAGGATCCCTACAGTGTGGAAGAAGGCTATTCAGCCCATCAAGTCTGCACTAACCCTCTGAAGATCATCCCATCCAGATTCGCAGAGTGAACAGATTGGGTCTCTTTTCTTTGAAAAAAAAAGAAGCCTGAAGATTATTTCAATAGAGATCTTCAAAATTATGAAATGTTTTAATTGGATGAAGGCAAAGACAATGTTTGCACTTGAGACAAGAGCATGACCAGACTGTATCAATATTAGATTGAGTTGGAAATTCAAAAGAAACTGCTTTACACAAAGAATGTAAAACTTGCTATCAAGTGAGATAAGGGAGAGTGACATAATTATTTGAGGGAGAATGGAATAGAGGGTTACAACGATAGATTTGCATGAGGAAAGTTAGGAGTGATGTATAAACACCAACATCAAATGGTTGGGCTGAATGGCCTGTTTTTGTACCATATGTATAATATTTGCCCCAAGTGCTTCTTCTGGAGGAGAATGAGATGTACTAATGCTAAGTACCAAATGGTTCTGAAAGAAGTCACAGCTGTTGAAAATAAGCAGTGGGAAGACATCAAAAGTCAGCACTGAAGCCTTTGAGAATTGGCAAAATTTATTGGATAAATTTCTTGTTTTGTGTAAGTTTGCAGTTATTACAGTAATAACATTTAAGCTTTTCTGTGTGAAGATTATAAAATGTACTCTTGGGTATTTCTTGTTTGCCAGCCGGAGGAGCGATGTGGCTGCTTAAAAAAAAAAGGGAAACCAACCTAAGCACTCGTCCGTTGCTGATTAGTAGATTTGAAAAAATATGTTCTTTTTGTTTGACTAGTGTGGATTACTTACTCATATTCGGAAGCAAGTTCTGCCTGATTATATTTTTGTTGATTGACTATAGTTAATTTGTAATCTTGATTATTTACTTCAATTAGATAAGTGAGATGTATATGGAACATCCTTCAATGAATGCCTCCAAGATATGAGATGTTGATCCATTGATCTTTTTGAAGGAAGAGTATATTAAAAACCAAAAGGGCAGATGTTGCCAGGATGCTGTAAATCAGAAACAAAAACAGAAATTGCTGGAAAAGCTCAGCAGGTCTGGCCGCATCAGTGAAGAGAAATCAGAGCTAACGTTTTGGGTCCAGTGACCCTTCCTCAAAACTGATGGTAGCTAGGAAAATGTTGGTTTGTTTCCAGAAGATAGGGTGGGGGAAAGAGCTAAGGAATAAATGATAGGTGGGGATAGAGCCCAAAGAGAGAGAAGAACAGTTGGACAGTCAAAGGGGTGGATAACGATTTGGCTAGGAGGGTGAACAGTTGTTGATGGAGACTGTTAGTGTGAAGAAATTGACTTCCATTACTTCCAGATTTTTCCATAAATACAAAAGTCAAAACTGAAAGAGGAAGTTGGAGGGGAAGAGGTTTTGCGTGAAACATACATGTTGTAGCAGACACAAAGGCAAAAGTTGAGCATCGGAAGTTATCACAAATCCCTGTTTCATAACTATGTCACCTATTTATTGCTTCTTTGACATACTGATGCTTTCCATAATACTGATTAATATCTGAATTGATGAATAGGAAAGTAGCATTTATCAACATACCTTCTGTTCTGATTTGGAAATGCTAATCTAATGTTTAAAAACTTGATTAGCATATGCTGATCTGTTACTTCCTGCAATATATTTCCCTTAACATTTGCTGCACTGAAATTAATGATGTTTATAACATGCTATTCAACACAGTGAAGGACACAGCAGCTGAAAGTCATTTTCTTTCTATTCTTCAACACATGTTGTTGATCACGAATGATTATTTTGTAAGGTAAGCTTTGATTTATTGTCTTTTATATATTTTTCATTGGATATGGCAAGACCAGCATTTGTTACCCATTCCAATTGCCTTGAATTGTGTGGCATTTCAGCAATTATTTTAAGGGTCAACCATATTTTGCAGGAGTCCCACACAGTCTGGAATCTCATGTGGCTGAGAATTGTTAAAGGTGGTGTATCTTCCTCCCTAAAGGACATTAGTGAACCAGATGGGTTTTTACAACAATCAATGAGAGTTTCATGTTACCATTACTAAGAATGCCTGTACATTCTAAATTTTATGAACTGAATATAAATTCCGCCACTTGCAGAGCATTGGCCTTGTCATTGGAAAATGTTACTACATCATTTACTTCCTAGATATTCTTCATAATGTGTTCTATAAATGCCATATTTCACTTGTCGAATATATGCGCACACTTACCACACATATTTGCAATGGGAGGAGGAACACTTTGATCCAAATTAGGACAACTGATTAAATGGATAACTCAACCTGATTATATGAATCTGCTTTGGTAATACACAGTCTCATTCCCAGCACCTGTACATAATGAATTGAGCAAACTTAATTAAATAATTTATTTAAACTAATCCTATACTGAATTCTGTCTCATCTACACTTTTTCTGCCTTACATTCACACCTGAAACATACTCCGGATCAATCCTGGAACCCGACTGGAATCTAATGCAACTTACAGAAATTGACAATGAGAGTTAAAAATCAGGAAGAAATGGAAATAACATTAATTTTAATTTAAAATGTGAACAAAACAAAATGAGACCAAAGAAGTATGCAAAGTCAGAGACCCATAGAAAAAGGACAGTTAGAGAGAGAGAAAGAGAGAGAGAGAGAGGGAAGTCAGAAACAGAGGGGGGGTTAAGATTGACAAAGGCCAAGCAATAGTGATTAAGGGTGACATAAACAATAAAACAAAGGAAGAAACTAATCATGAAAGAAATGTAAAAATATATTGATCGTGTTCTGAAATGAACTTATTCAAGATCTAAACCAAAAGAACTGCAGCTGCTGTAAATCAGGAACAAAACCAGAAGTTGCTGGAAAAGCTCAGCATGTCTGGCAGCATCTGTGAAGTAAAATCAAAGTTAAATTCCGGGTTCAGTGACCCTTCCTCAGAGCTGATGGTAGCAAGGAAAATGTCGTTTATATGCAGAAGATAAGGTGGGGGGAGGGATAAGGCGTAAACAATAGGTGGGGATAGAGCTCAAAGAGAGAGAAGAACAGTTGAACGGACAAAGGAATTGAAAACAATCTGGCTATGATGGTGAATACCTGTTAATAGGGACTGTTAGTGGCTAACAATAGTTAGTGTGTAATGGCAGACTATGTGATAACAGGAGGTGGTGTGTGGGGTAGTGGACTAGGACAGGGAGAGTTTAGGCCCTAAAATTATTGAAATCGATATTGAGCCCAGAAGGCTGCAGGGTTACCAAGTAAAAAATGAGGTGTTGTTCTTCCAGAGATAAGGTGTAGAGCTGGATGAGCACAGCAGGCCAAGCAGCATCAGAGGAGCAAGAAGGCTGACGTTTCGGGCCTAGACCCTTCTTCAGAAATGGGGGAGGGGAAGGGGGTTCTGAAATAAATAGGGAGAGAGGGGGAGGCGGATTAAGATAGATAGAGGAGAAGATAGGTGGAGAGGAGACAGACAGGTCAAAGAGGCGAGGATGGAGCCAGTAAAGGTGAGTGTAGGTGGGGAGGTAGGGAGGAGATAGATCAGTCCAGGGAGGATGGACAGGTCAAGGGGGCGGGATGAGGTTAGTAGGTAGGAGATGGGGGTGGGGCTTGAGGTGGGAGGAGGGGATAGGTGGGAGGAAGGACAGGTTAGGGAGGCGGGGACGAGCTGGGCTGGTTTTTGGATGCGGTAGGGGGAGGGGAGATTTTGAAGCTTGTGAAGCACCTTCACCTCTTCCAGAACTTCCAATTCCCCGGTCCCCAACACCGCACCTTTACCTCTCTATACACCTGCATTCCCCATACAGATGGCCTAAAGGCCCTCCGCTTCTTCCTGTCCCGCAGGCCCGACCAGTCTCCCTCCACTGACACCGTCATAGAACATAGAACATTACAGCGCAGTACAGGCCCTTCGGCCCTCGATATTACACCGACCTGTGAAACCAATCCGAAGCCCATCTAACCTACAGTATTTCATTATCATCCATATGTTTATCCACATCCGCTTAGCTGAACTTGTCCTCACCCTCAACAACTTCTCTTTCAATTCCTCCCACTTCCTACAGACAAAGGGGGTGGCCATGGGTAGCCGCATGGGCCCAAGCTATGCCTGCCTCTTTGTAGGTTACGTGGAACAATCCCTCTTCCGTAGCTACACTGGCCCGAAACCCCACCTCTTCCTCTGTTACATTGATGACTGTATTGACGCCGCCTCGTGCTCCCACAAGGAGCTCGAACAGTTCATCCACTTCACCAACACCTTCCACCCCAACCTTAAGTTCACCTGGACCATTTCTAATACCTGTCTCTCCTTCCTGGACCTCTCCGTCTCCGTCTCTGGCAACCACCTAGAAACCGATATCTGTTTCAAGCCCATCGACTCCCACAGCCACCTAGAATACACCTCCTACCACCCACCTTCCTGCAAAAATGCCATCCCCTATTCCCAATTCCTTCGCCTCCGCCGCATCTGCTCCCAGGATGAGGCATTCCACTCCCGTACATCTCAGATGTCCTCTTTTTTCAAGGACTGCAGCTTCCCCCCCTCAGTGGTCGAGAACGCCCTCGACCATGTCTCCCACATTTCCCGCAACTCATCCCTCACACCCTATCCCTGCAATAACAACCAAAACAGAATCCCCCTCATCCTCACGTACCACCCCACCAACCTCCGGATCCAACGCATCATCCTCCGACACTTCCGCCATTTGCAATCCGACCCCACCACCAAAGACATTTTTCCCTCCCCACCCTTATCTGCTTTCCGGAGGGACCACTCTCTCCGTGACTCTCTTGTCCGCTCCACACTCCCCTCCAGCCCCACCACACCTGGCACTTTTCCCTGCAACCGCAGGAAGTGCTACACCTGCTCCTACACCTCCCCACTCACCCCCATCCCAGGCCTCAAGAAGACTTTCCACATCAAGCAGATGTTTACCTGCACATCTGCTAATGTGGTATACTGCATCTGCTGTCCCCATTGTGGCGTCCTCTACGTCGGAGGAAACCAAGCGGAGGCTCGGGGACCGCTTTGCAGAACACCTACGCTCGGTTCGCACTAAACAACTGCACCTCCCAGTTGCGAACCATTTCAACTCCTCCTCCCATTCCTCAGACGACGTGTCCATCCTGGGCCTCCTGCAGTGCCACAACGATGAAGGTTGCAGGAACAGCAACTCATATTCCGCTTGGGAACCCTGCAGCCCAATGGTATCAATGTGGACTTCACAAGCTTCAAAATTTCCCCTCCCTCTACCGCATCCCAAAACCAGCCCAGCTCGTCCCTGCCTCCCTAACCTGTCCTTCCTCCCACCTATCCCCTCCTCCCACCTCAAGCCCCACCCCCATCTCCTACCTTCTAACCTCATCCCACCCCCTTGACCTGTCCGTCCTCCCTGGACTGACCCATCTCCTCCCTAACTCCCAACCTACACACACCTTTACAGGCTCCATCCCCGTCTCTTTGATCTGTCTGTCTCCTCTCCACCTATCTTCTCCTCCATCCATCTTTTATCCGCCTCCCCCTCTCTCCCTATTTATTTCAGAACCCCCTTCCCCTTCTCCTCCCCCTCCCCCATTTCTGAAGAAGGGTCTAGGCCCGAAACGTCAGCCTTCCTGCTCCTCTGATGCTGCTTGGCCTGCTGTGTTCATCCAGCTCTACACCTTGTTATCTCAGATTCTCCAGCATCTGCAGTTCCTACTATCTCTGTTGTTCTTCCAGCTTGTGTTCAGCTTTGCTAGAACACTCCAGCAAGCCTGAGACGAAGGTGTTGGTAAGGGAACAGGGTGGTGTGTTAAACTGGCAGGTAACTGGAAGCTCAGGGTCTTTTTTGCAGGCAGAACATAAATGAGCTGAAAAGCAGTCACCCAGTCTATGCTTCATTTCCCCAATGTAGAGGAGACCACATTGAGCAGCGAATGCAGTAGACGAGATTGTGGGAAGCGCAGGTAAAGAGCTGCTTCACCTGGAAGATATGTTTGGGCCCTTGGATACTGGGGTGGGGGGAAATGAGGTAAATGGGCAAGTGTTACACTTACGCCGGTTGCAGGGGAAGGTCCCGTGGGGCTGTGGGGGCGGTTTTGGGGGTGAAGGAAGGATGGTGCTGTTGTAATTTGGTGTACTGGCCTCTGAATTGCAGAGGCTAAGCGCCAACTCTCAGACATCTCCTATCTAGGGGACATCAGGCCATTGCATCAACTACGGTAACTAACCTCATTTCATTTGGTGATCTCCCTCATACGGCCTCCAAGCTGGTAGTTCTCCAGCAACGCACAACTCGCTTCTACCTCATTCTAAAAATCCACAAACAAGACGACCCGAGCAGATCCATTGTTTTGGCCTGCTCCTGCTTCACAGAACTCATCTTTTTCTACCTTGACTCAGTCTTCTCTCCCCTGGTCCAGTCCCTGCCCACGTAATCCGTGATTCCGCTGATGCTTTACGCCAGTTTCAAAATTTTCAGCTTGCAAGCTCTAGCTGCCTCCTCTTTACCATGGACGTGCAATCCCTTTACTTGTCCATCCCTGATGTGGATGGTCTTAGCGTTGTCTGTTTCTTCCTGGAGCAAAGGCCTGAATTGTCCCCACCCACCACCACCCTCCCCTGCTTGGCCGAGCTCGTCCTCACCCTTAACAACATTTTTTTTAACTCCTCTCATTTTCTTCAGGCCAGGGGTTGGCCATGGGTACCCGCATGGGTCCCGGCTATGCATGTCACTTTGTGGGGTATGTGTAACATTCCTTTTTCCAGTCCAATTCGGGCCTCCCACCCACAACGCTGTCTCCAAGTTATCAATGATATCGTCGATGTTGCTTCCCTCTCTTGTTTGGAATTGGAAAAGTTAATTGATTCAATTTCCACTCTGCCCTCCCTTTCACCTGGTCTATCTCTGACTCCTCCCATCCCTTCTTTGACATGTTTCCATTTCTGGGGATAGACTGGCTACTAATATCCACTGATAACCCAACAACACCCACAACTACCTGGACTGTACAACCTTGCACCCTGCTTCCTGTATTGACTCCATTCCATTCTCTCAGTTCCTCTGATTCCATTGCATATGTTCGGACGAGTCCAACTTTGACAAGGATGTGTCTGAAATGCCCATCTTCTTCCTCAGCTGAGGATTCTCCAGCAGCATTGTCGACAGGGCCCTCAACCGGGTCTGACCCATCTCCCGCACTTCTGCCCTCACCCCCTCTCTACCCTCCTGCACTGGCGATTGGGTCACCCTTGTCCTTACCTACCATCCCCCAGCGTCCACATCCAGAAGATCATCAGCTACCATTTCTGCCACTTGCAGCAAGACGCCACCACCAGACACACATTCCCGTTCCCCCCCCTTGTCCACCTTCCACAGGGACCGTTCCCTCTGGGACACCCTGGTCCAAGTCTGCTCCACAGCCCCATGGCACCTTCCCTGCAACCAGCGAAAGTGTAACACCTGCCCATTTACCTCCTCCCTCCCCAATATCCGAGAACCCAAGCTTACCTTCCAGGTGAAGCAGCACTTTACCTGCACTTCCTACAATCTAGTCTACTGCATTCGCTGCTCACAATGTGGTCCCCTGTACATTGGGAAACAAAGCATAGACTGGGTGACTGCTTCGCAGAATGTCTATGTTCTCCCCGCAAAAAAGACCCTGAGCTTCCAGTTACCTGCCAGTTTAACACACCACCCTGTTCCCTGGCCACCATTTCTGTCTCAGGCTTGCTGCAGTTTTCCAGCAAAGCTAACCACAAGCTGGAAGAACAACACCTCATTTTTTGCTTGGTAACCCTGCAGCCTTCTGGGCTCAATATCGATTTCAATAATTTTAGGGCCTAAACTTTCCCATGTCCTAGCCCTCTACCCCACGCACCACCTCCTATTATCACATAGTCTGCCATTACACACTACCTATTGTTAGCCACAAACAGTCCCTATTAACAGATATTCACCCTCATAGCCAGATCGATATCAATTCATTTGTCGGTTCAATTGCTCTTCTCTCTCTTTGAGCTCTATCCCCACCTATCGTTTCACCTTACCCCTCCCCCCACCTTATCTTCTGCATATAAATGACATTTTCCTTGCTATCATCAGTTGTGAGGAAGGGTCACCAGATCCGAAATGTTAACACTGATTTTTCTTCACAGATGCTGCCAGGCATGCTGAGCTTTTCCACTAATTTGTGTTTTTGTTCTTCAAGATCTAACTGTTAAATGCACCAATTCAATGCAGCAGCATGCAATGAAATTTGTATACCTTCGAAACTACGATCTACCAGGATATCTGGGTTTTTATGCCATAAATACCCCTACATTACATTTCTATTGTGTACTTGAGTGCTTTTTCATTGATTTTATGAGCTGTGTTGTTTTTACATTGATGTTTTGAGGGATGTCGATGTCTCAAAGTTTCACTTGGTCATAGTTTATTGCAGTTATGCATAACTCTTGAGTATCCGGATATTTGATGAACCAATTCACTAATAGTCACATAGGTGCCAATTAATAAAAGGTTTGCTGTATTACTGAGTGATCACACTATGACAACAGTTCTCACTTGATACAAAAGTTGTACTTCTTTCGAAGAATGAAGGAAAATGTCAGTGTATCATCTAACAGAATGAGGTCTCCGTATCAATACTGGACATAATCATGACAATTTGTGGATTTCAAGTTCATTTGAAACTAACTGAATTAATTTTCTTCTGTTTATTGCAGACCACAGTATTTCAAGATCATAGAAGAATGTGTTTCCCAAATAGTGTTGCACCGCAGTGGCATGGATCCTGATTTTACATACCGGAAACGATTAGATATAAACTTCGAATATCTTGTTGGTGAGCAGTATTTCTGTAGAAGAAACTGAATCAGACTTAATTGACATAGCAACATGGGGAACATTTTTAAGTTTGAAGCAAAAAATGGTTATGAACCTGGATCACATGCTTATCTTCTCTGCAGATACATGTGTTGACAAAGCAAGAGTCGATGACTGCGAACAAAGGCTTTCAGAACTCAGTAGAAAGGTAAGGAACGCCATTGTATCATCAATGCTATTGTCAAAAGAACATTTTTCACCTGCTCCTCTGATGCTGCTTGGCCTGCTGTGTTCATCCAGCTCTATACCTTGTTATCTCAGATTCTCCAGCATCTGCAGTTCCTACTATCTCTGAAAAAATTTTTCACCTTAGTTTGCTTTATAATCTAAAGTACATGTTTCCTCATGAAATGATGAGTGGAACTGAGATAAATTAAATGATGATAGGTGGCGTTTGGGTTTTTGAAACTGGTTATGAATATAACATGTAAGAAAGTAGAAGCAGGAGTAGACCATGGCCCTTGCAGCCTGCTAGGTTTTTATACCCAATCATGGCTGCTTTTTTGCCTCAATTCCACTTTACTGCTTAGTCCTCATATCTTTCTTTACCCAATAGATAGAAATATGTTTTTCTCAGCTTTGAGTATATTCAGTGATGGAGCATCTAAATGTTAGAGAAGTTTGATGGTAAAAGCCGTCTGATTGAAGAAAGTTTTCCTCATCTCAAACTTAAATGATTGAGCCTTTATCCTGAGGCTGTGCCTCTGCATTCTAGCGGAAACAAGTTCTTTGCTTCCATACTGCCTGTTTCAATGAGAAAAGGCCCGATATACTCAACGTCTCATGAAGGATGAGCATCTCATTTCAGAAGCAAATTGAGTGAACCATTGTTACAACGTATTCATGGCGTGTGTAGACATGGAGACCAACATTGTTTGTACTGCATCAGGTGTGCTATCACCTAAACCCAAACAATTAGACAAAACTTCCTTGTTCTTGTCCTCCATTTTTCTTTCAATAAAACCTAAGATGTCAGTTGCCTTTCTAATTCTTGCTATACCTGCACGCTGACTTTATTTTCTTCGTACATCTGTCTATGAACAAAGACGAATAAAGAACAATACAGCACATGAACAGGCTCTTCGGTCCTCCAAGCCTGTGCTGCCCCATTTTGCCCTTTCATACTAAAACTGTCTTCTCTTACAGGATCCCTATCCCTCTATTCCCTTCCTATTCATGTATTCATCCACGTGCTTCTTGAATGCTGCAATTGTGTCTGCTTCCACCACTTCTGGCAATGCGTTCCAGGCACTCAACACCCTTTGTGTGGAAAAACGTGCCTCGCACATCTCTTTTAAACTTAACCCACTGCACCTTGAACCTGTCTCCCCTAGTAATTGACCCCTCTACCCTGGGAAAAAGCCTCATACTTTCCACTCAATCCATGCCACTCAATTTTTTAAGCTTCTATTAGGGCACCTCTCAACCTCCTGTGTTCCAGTGAAAACAAACCCAGTTTATCCAACCTTTCTTCACAGCTATAATCCCCCATACCAGACAACATCCTGGTAAACCTTTTCTGTACCCTCTCCAAAGCATCCACATCCTTCTGGTAGTGCAGTGACCAGAACTGTATGCAATATTCCAAGTTTGGCCTAACTAAAGTTCGATAAAGCTGCAGCATAACTTGTCTATCCTTATACTCAATGCCCCTTCTAATGAAGGAAGCCATACCATAAGCCTATTTTACTACATTATCTACCTGTACTGTCATCATTAGTCATCTGTGGACCTGATCCCTTTGCATATCAATACTCCTCAGTGTTCTGCCATTTACTGCATAATTTTCACCTGTAATTGACCTTCCAAAATACATCACCTCACATTTGTCTGGATTAAACTCGATCTGCCATTTTTCTGTCCATACCTCCAAATTACCTATATTCCTGTTGTATCTTCTGACAATCCTCCTCACTGTCCACAACTCCACCAATCTTTGTATCATCTGCAAACTTACTAATTAGACAAGTTGCATTTTCCTCCAAATCATTTCTGTAGACCATGAACAGCAGAGGTCCCAGTACTGATCCCTGTGGAACACCACTAGCCATAGCGCTCCATTCTGAAAAACATCCTCCCACCGCTACCCTCTGTCTCCTAAGACTGAGCCAGTTCTGTACCCATCTTGCTAGCTCACCCTGATACAATGTGACTTCACATTGTGTACCAGTCTGCCATGAGAAACCTTGTCAACGGCTTTACTGAAATCCATGTAGACAATATCAACCGCTTTTCTCTCATCAATCATCTTCACCACCTCCTCAGAAAATTTGATCAAGTTAGTGAGGCACGACGTCCCCGTTCAAAACTGTGTTGTCTATCGCTAGTAAGTCCATTTGCTTGTAAGTATGCATAGATCTTGTCCCCAAGAATCTTTTCCAATAATTTCCCTACCACCGACGTGAGAACCCCAGACCTGTACCTTCCAGTGTTCTCCCTGCTACCCTTTTTGAATATGATAGCGTCATTTAAGATGTATCTAGACAGATACATGAATGGGCAGGGAGCAGAGGGATACAGTTCCTTGGAAAATAGGCGACAGGTTTAGATAGAGGATCTGGATCGGCGCAGGCTTGGAGGGCCGAAGGGCCTGTTCCTGTGCTGTAATTTTCTTTGTTCTTTGTTCTTTGAATGTTTACATGTTTTGTGCATTTAAGAAGATTTTTTTTTCGTAGATTTGTTACAGCGCAGAAGAAGACCATTTGACCCATTGTGTCTATACTATCCCTTCTGAGGAGCAATTTATATGCTGTTGCTCTTCTGCCTTCTCTCCATATCCCTGTACATTCCTCCTCATCAGATATTTAGAATATGTGCTAAGATGACCATACTGTCCATCATGTTTGTTCCTGCTGAGAGTTTACCTACCTAGCCTAACCCGTTTTCCAGGTCTTGGACCATTTCCTGGGAGTTTATGGATTTTACGGGGGTTTCCGGACTCTCTTGAAAATTAATTTTGTGTTTGTCCCTCTCCCATCCTCTCGGAATAATTTCCAGACACCCCATCTTTTCCTCGTCTTCCCTCGAGTCATTCTATCAGTCACTTAAAATGTATGCTTCTTCATCGTTGACCACTCTGCTTAAGGTGACAGGTCCTTCCCACCCAGGGTCCTCATAACCGTGTACACCTCAATCACATCTCTGCTTAGTGTCCCGTTTTGAAAGAAGAATATCTTGAGCCTTTCTAATCTTTCTTCACAGCAGCTGTTTTTTTCAGGCCTTGCAACACCTTCAGAAATTTCCTCTGTACTCTCTCTTATGCAGCTACATCCTTTCTGGAATGAGCTGACCAAAATTGCATGCAGTACCCAAGCTGTGACCTAACTTTTATATGAGAACATAACTGTTTTTAAGTAGAGTTTGAGTCCACACTTTTAGTGAGAGGTTTATTTCAGTTAACCACACACCATAAAATTCTCTTCTCACTGATTATATGCTCTCCATAATTATACAGTTAATTCACACCAATTAACCTTTAATCAATCAATCCATCACCTGTTCCCTCATTCCATTAGGTCTTCAGCATTCCTTCAGACCATCCTGGATGATAACATTTAACTATTTTCGACAATCTTTAAACAGCCTGTTCATACACGACTAGTATGACTAGTGACCTGTAGTGACTGTAGTAGTGTAGCATAGTGGACTGTTGTAGTGACTAGTGACTATGTGACCTGTGACTAGTGGCATTACTCAGGGATCAATGTGCTGTGATTAGTGGCGTTCCTCAGGGATCAGTGCTGGGACCTTTGCTATTTGTAATATATATAAATGATTTGAAGGAAAATGTATCTGGTTTGCTTAGTAAGTTTGCAGATGACACAAAGGTTGGTGGAATTGCAGATAGCGATGAGGACCGTCAGAGGATACAGATTGGTTGGTGGCTTGGGCAGAGAGATGGCAGATAGAGTTTAATCTGGAAAAATGTGCAGTTTTTGAAGGTCTAATCCACCAGAAGGAAAACATACAGTAAATGGCAGAACTCTTAACAGTACTGATCGGAAGAGGATTCTGGGTATACAGGTACACAGGTCACTGAAAGTGCCAATGCAGGTGGAGAAAGTAGTCAACAAGGCATACGGCAGAGATAGTAGGAACTGCAGATACTGGAGAATCTGAGATAACAAGGTGTAGAGCTGGATGAACACAGCAGGCCAAGCAGTATCAGAGGAGCAGGAAAGCTGACGTTTTGGGCCTAGACCCTTCTTAAGAAATTTCTGATGAAGGGCCTAGGCCTGAAACATCAGCTTTCCTGCTCCTCTGATGCTGCTTGGTCTGCTGTGTTCATCCAGCTCTACACCTTGTTATCTAAGGCATATGGCATGCTTGTCTTCATCAGCCGGGGCATTGAGTTTAAAAATTGGCAGGTAATGTTGTAGCTTTATAGAACCTTAGTTAGGCCGCATTTGGAATATTGTGTTCAATTCTGGTTGCCACACTTCCAGAAGGATGTGGTGGTTTTGGAGAGGGTTAAGAAAAGATTTACCCGGACATTGCCTGGTATGGAGGGCATTAACTATGAGGAGAGTTTGCAGAAACTTGGGTTGTTCTCACTGGAACGACGGAGGTTGAGGGGTGACCTGATAGAGGTCCACATGATGATGAAGGGCATGGACAGAGTGGACAGTCAGAAGCATTTTCCCAGGGTGGAAGAGTCAGTTACTAGGGGCATAGGTTTAAGTTGCGAGGAGTAAGGTTTCAGGGTGATGTACGAGGCAAATTTTTTACACAGAGAGTGGTGGGTGCCTGGAACTCGCTGCTGGGGGAGGTAGTGGAAGCGGATATGGTAGTGACTTTTAAAGGGCGTCTTGATAAATACATGAATAGGATGGGAATAGAGGGATACGGTCCCTGGAAGGGTAGGGGGATTTTGTTGCGACAGGTAGCATGTTGGTGCAGGCTTGGAGGGCCGAAGGACCTGTTCCTGTGCTGTAATTTTCTTTGTTCTTTGTTCTATGTGTTGTGACACATCTCCGGAGCAGGTGTGGCATAACTTCACTGCGTCTATATTCTGTGCATCAGCTAGTAACAGAAAAGGATTCTTAACTCAGCTTGTCAACCAGTAGCCGAGACCCTAACTTCTTCTTATTTTAAAGGCAAATTTAAAGTATCTGTTCCTGATGCAATGTTCTGGTCAAACTATTCGACGTTAAACGAAATACAATTTATTTATGTAGTTAAAATGCAAACAAAGAAAGAGGAATTTAGAATAACTTAACTCTATTGGAAACCTTAACGGAATAATAGATACAGTAACTATTACTAATTAACTGTTCTAATGTAGTAGCATCCCAAAACACACCCCTTGGCACAAAAAAAAAGGATAATTTAGACACAGATTCTCAGATTCAGTTCTCCAATCCCAGATGAAAAACCATCAAGGGAAAATCCAGAGAGAGTAACAGCCAAGAGACATTCATTGAAGCTTCCAACTCTTTTGAGAACCCAATAGCTTCTACTTAAAGCTAAACCTAAAAACTGAAGAAAAGCTAGAAAGCCTGGTCTATGAGAGCTAGCCACACCCTGGGTGCTTCTATTATTCCAACTTCTAAAGAACAACCAAGGCGTCACAAACTGTTTACTCAAGTTGTCTTCAATGGCCAGCTCTTCACCTCTACCTTACAACCTCTGTTCAAACAAAAAACCTCTTGAAAGCCACTGAATTGTCACACTGACAACACTTTCTACATTTGTGGCTACAGGACATGGGAAGCATCCTGGAGTTCTCTTATTGTACTCTCGATATTGGAGGATTCCTGCCTATCCTTTATTTATTAACTGATATCTTTGTGAATGGTAATCGATCTTACTAATAAAGTTTTAGCTATTAATAATAATGCTCATTACTATTAATATACTTAACCAATACTGACAATCCCCAATGGTATTTAATAAAACCCGACAATTACCAATACATTATCAGAGTTTTGGAAGATAAATGACCAGATATTTACCTACAAATCACTTATCTGTTTCTTTTTGACATCATGTTTCGATTTTTGGAAACTATGGCTGGTTCCATTTTAACTGGCTGGGTCCATCTCTCTTTACCCTATTTTTCACTCTGACTGTTTTAACTTGCTGGATCAACCTCTCCCCAAAACCCAAAGTCTGGTGGATTTTATCAAACAGCATGTGTCTTCAGGTGTTCACGGTGAGGAAGTTTCTGACTATATCCAACCAGTCTGCACTTTAAAACTCACAACACAACATTATTCTGCTGTAAGACACTATTTGCTTGATAAAGTGTATGAAGTGTTATGCTGACATCGAATTTAGGATTGTCAGTGAGGCTTGCAAGGTGATGGCAATTGCATGTACCGGAAGCAACGTATATTAATACATAGGGCCCTGCTATTTTCAGCCTGAAGGAATATTTATATGCACAATGCCTCTTTCAATACAACAAAATAGTTGACAGCTGTCACTGGTTCATTTTCTCAAGGCAATCCCCTGAAAAATGATTAACCTACCTAGTTTTAAATAAAAACAGCCTGGTAGTTAACTATCAATCAGCATTAGTTGATGCATTCTCCATGATAAACCCTCTGCCAATCAGCGTATACTTGCCAACCAATCACTATTGTTCTCTCATGCAGTATTAGTCTTAGCTTTCCCCTTGAACTGGTATTCTTGGGAATTCTATTGCTGAATGCAAAAGGTAAAGTTTTGGCATAATGAGCTTTTTCAGCAACACTTAAGTTCCATCCTGTCAAATGCTGATCCTCCTGTTCCACTTTGAGTTACTTGGTGACCTCCACATAGCTTATGTTCCCAGTAACTGTGTATAGTCAATATATATGGATACACTTTGTCTGTTTCTATGTCTAAATCCAATATAAATTTGAAATAATGAAGAAACCAGCACTCTTTCTTAGAGCACTCCATTGCCAACTTCAAATGTCTCATTTATCCCTACTTTCTGCTTCTTGCCCATTACTCAAACATTCTTTCGAATAAAATATATTCCTCTATGTACCCTTATACTACATACTAATCCTGTGTATGGGACCTTATTTTAGTGGAATGTGTACTAAATCTGCTGGTTCCCCTTTATCTGTCCTACACCTGTTCCCTTTCAGAAAATTGTGTTGACTCTCATCTGAATGCGTAATGATTTTATTGGCGGGTTTTCAGATTTTCTTAAGACTAAATTCCAGCATCTTCCCAGTAATTGACATTAGGCTAACTTGATTTGATTTGATTTGATTTATTGCTGTCACAAATACCTAAGTACAGTGAAAAGTTTTGTTTTGTATGTAGTACAGGCAGATCATGACATACAAGGACATAAAGATCATAGAAAATAAAAACCGAAAGAACTGTGAATGCTGTAAATCAGGAACAAAAACAGAAGTTGCTGGAAAAGCTCAGCAGGTCTGGCAGCATCTGTGAAGAAAAAAATCAAAGTTAATGTTTTGGGTCCGGTGACCCTTCCTCAGAACTTAACGTAAAGATCATGGAGTGTTTAGACAGAACGAGGCATATAAGTTTATGGCTGCACAGACGATGTGCAAAAGCAAGATCAACATCAGATTTGAAATTAGAGAGGTCCATTTAGCAGTCTAATAACAGCGGGGAAGAAGCTGTTCTTGAACCTGTTGGTATGTGTGTTTAAATTTCTCGATCTTCTGCCTGATGGTTTGAACAGAGTATTTCCGGAGTAGAAGGGTTCTAAGATGTATTTTCCAGCCATTCCGCGGCAATGAGAAGTGTAGATGGAGTCCATGGATGGAAGGTTGGCTTGCTTGATGGTGTGGGCTGTGTACACAGCCTTCTATAGTTTCTTACAGTCCTGGGCAGAGCAGTTGCTGTCCCAAGCCATTATGCACCTGGATAGAATGCTTTCTATGGTGCATCTGTAAATGTTGGTGAAGTTCCTTATGGACATGCCAAATTTTCTAAGCCTCCTGAGGAAGAAGAGATGTTGTTGTGCCATCTTGACCGTCATATCTACACGGGAGTTCCAGGACAGATTGTTGGTTATCGTCACTCCTAGGAATTTGACGCTCATGACCCTCTCCACCTCAGCTCCGCTGATGTAGATAGGGTCGTGTCCTCCTCCTTTCTTTCTGAAGCCAATGATCAGTTTAGTTTTGCCGACATTGAGGGAGTGATTGTTATCTTCATATAGTTCCCCAGTCAGTTTCATCCTCCTGTCTTGTTTCTTCCTTACAAAATGGTTCTCTTTTATTTCAGTGAGGGCTAGACGACTTGAAAATGTATTTTCTTAGTAATGCAGAGGGCATGTTTCTGAATGTTTAGACCAGTATATTACTTAGAGAAAACAGTGGGAAATCTTCCCTGTTCACCAGGACACAAAATATTGTGAATAACTTTGTTTTAATTTTTTTTTGATTTATTTTATTGTGAAGGATGATCAGAAAATATTCAAGCTGGTTTATGTTGAATTATATAGATACCACAACATTCTCAAAAATAAAGCACACTTGATAATGCAGAAGTCCATAGAGCCCAGGTTGATGCAACTTTATCTTTCAGTTTGATGAAGAATTTACAGCCCGGCAAGAAGCACAGGCCCAAATACAGAAGAGAGAACAAAAAATCAATGAGCTTGAAGTGGAGTTGCAAAGTCTCAAAGCGCAGGTAATCAAGTGTGCTAAATGCTTTCTTTGAGTTCTAAACTGTTGGTGGTTACAATCCAGTAACTGGTTACAATTTATACTGTTGATTTAAAATAAAAAGATTTGTTTGGTATTCTGCTCCAGTTTTGCCTTTTTAAAAATTTGCGAGTTGCCTTCTTGCAGGCTTCTGCCCAAAATGCCAAAGGCTGTATAATGCAGTGGTTATGCAATATTAATTAGTTCTGTTGTTTCAAGATTGATTTCAGATTTTATTTTGGACTCTTGTTAATTAAACCTTTGCTTCTGTTTCAGTAGTTGTTAGCTCCTAGTGTCACACATTTCCTGAGTAATTAGCCACGGAGGGTAGAGGGTCCACTGCACTTTGATTCAGTGCATCATTAAAGATCTTTATCTGAATACAGGAAATTATTTCTTAGGTTATTTATTTGGCTGTCCCTTATGGTTCAGGTTTCTGCAGAGAAAAAGATAACACAACAACGAATGAGAATATTCAAATAGTTTTTCAATTTTCAAAGAGAAATACATGTAAGACATGGCATCCTACTATTTGTGGAAGGATCAAGATAAATTTCTAGGAGTGCATGCTTAAGGATATGCCTTATTTAAAGAGATGTGTATTTGATTGTTATTTTGAACTATTTTCAAATGCTGTAAATTTGTAAATGATTATATTGTAACAGTTTTGTTCATTAATGTAGAAACACTTGCATTTATTTAATTGTTAAAAAGGGCAAACTAGAAAGTAACAGTCTTGGCATTATTTTTAAAAGAAACAAATTGTGTGTTTAATTGAAACAGTGATCAAGGCCATTTCTTACTGATACAGGTGGTCCCCGATTTACAAAAGTCAGACTTAGAAACATTCGTACTTACGAATGAGATCCCACCCAGGGCTGTATTAATAATAATTTTTAAAATCCAACATACAAATGTTTCCTTGTAGTTATTGTGCTGTGTTCTGACTTGTGCGCAAATCGACTTGTGAATGTACTGAAGAACAGAAACCGTTTCCAACCTGGGGACAATCTGTATCTGCAAAGGTCAAATAGCAGATATTTTGTTTCTCCTTAATCCCTAGTGAGAAAGTTAGAGCAAAAACTGTTTGTGATTCAACCAACTCCATTACGAAAGACTGGTATTGAACAAATGGAGAATAAAAATGTTGTCAGATACATTGGGGAATGTCTTTTTTTAAAATGAGACTGATGTTGTGCTTAGTTGTTTCATGTGTCTTTGGATTATTTACAAAGGAATTGGAGTGACTTTACACTAGGTAAATTTCTAGCTGATGGAATTTAGTAAATCTATGTATATATCAATCCATGCTTAAAATGGTTGAGTTGACAAATGTATCAATCCATTTCCAGCAACAATTTAGACCTTGTGAATGTGGAAACAGTGAAATATGTGTTTGCTTCTGTAGTTGCACTTAACTTTCTGCAATTATTTGTAAGCTGAGCCAATTAAGTTTCTTGACTCAAGTTAGTTTCCAGACCATCAGTGATGGGGCAAAGCACTGAACATTGGCTTAAGCAGTTTCCTCTCAATCAGGGGTGAGAATGGCATATAGATAATTAAGGGAAGTATTTTCCCCCCAAAAGGTATTTGGACGTGATCCTTTGATTGGATGATTGGACTCAAGGATAGATTCTAACCAATCTCTTCAGAGATACAATAATACACCTCTAGAGGAGATGGGACTGGAGCTGAGGCCTCCTGTTCAGAGATAGGGACTCTACCACTGCACCCACAAGATTCCAATGTGAGACTTGAATATTGCATCGACCAATGTTCATGCGTTTCTCACATTGCAACCTGGCCATTTAAGGGAATTTCATCAACCTGTCCAGACAGGTCTCCTGGCTCAGAGGTAGGGACAACAGCACTTCACCACCAGAGCCTTTTCAAGGTGGGGCTTGAAAATATTTTTAATCAACCTATTACGTCTGTCTGGAGCAGGTGGGACTTGAACTCATGACACTTGGTCCTTAAGTACAGAAACCACCACAGCACGTTGGTATTTATTGTGAAGTAAGGTTACGCAGAAGCATAACCCACTGATTTGATTTAGCCTTGCTCCATCTCCATCTTCAGATGATGTATTTTGTTTCCACTGTAAAATTAGTAATTTCAGGCTGTTGCACACATAATTTGAAAATGTGATTTGAAGAAGCAACCAGGTAAAGAGAGTGGAGAGAGATTTACTTGGGAGGAGGGCAAAGTAGACTTGAACAAACTCATAAAGCTGCATAATACAAATAGTGAATTCATGCATGCCCATTGTTTGTTTTTTTTTGGTTTATCTGAGCAGGAATAAATATATGCAAGTCTCTCCACACCTTCAGTTGCAATACTGATTTTACTTGCATAAAACCACATATCTAACTTCTCCCAGTTATGACGAAAGATCACAGACATGAAGCTTTAACTCTATTTTTCTTGGACGTGGCCAGGTCTGCTGAGTATTTCCAGTATATTCTGCTTTATCTGTCATATTTTGTATTTAATTATCATTTCCTTGTCCTTGTTCTTCCAAACTGTCAATTATTCACACAGGCCTGAATTATACTTAGTGCTCAATTCCATACTCTCCTGTTTAGAAAGTCACTGGGGAGCCCACTCCAGGGAATACTGGAGCTGCCCAAAACCGTTTTGGCCATTAATAGTCTTGAGGCAGAGTTTCTGTCCTTGTGGATTAGGAAGTCTAATTGTGGAGAGCTTCTGGCCAATTAGAAGTTCCCAGGTCTCCAGTGCTATTCAGTACCACTGAATATTCAGCACCACTGAATATTCAGCATTGTCCCACCTCTCAGTCATCAGTGTGGCGCATGTAACACCTTACCCAGAGGTATGATCACGATTTCTGTTTCTAACTGTTGCAATAATATTAAAAAATTAAGCCAAGTATGCTGGGAAAAATTTATCTTTTGAATCATTTTCATGTTTTCTAACTGCAGGGATAATCATTGAAAGAGTAGACAGATAAGAAAAAGGATGACAAAAGATATCATTGAGTCTACCTTCTGTGGTTGGAAAAGGAGTAGTAAAGTTGGGAGCTAAAGCAGAGGGGACGTCACTTTTTGCTTTCAACGTTTACAGTAGTTTATGGTTCTGTAACATATTGATTTAGTCTTTGTTTAGCTTAAATTAAATCAAAAAGTTACTTAAAATACTTAAAATTGTAACCTATTTAATTATATAAATTCACCTGAATTAGATTTTTGGGGATAGCAATGCAAGTTGGAGCATATAGAGTTTATGGAGAATAATTGTACGAAGTGCCTACATCTCAAGGAACTTCAGTGCAGCATTGTCGGTCTGGAGTCCAATATGGAAATGTTGGTCATCAGGTGGGGAAGAACGACCTGGACTGTTTTGTCCATGAAACCGTTGGATCCCTTCGGTTCATCAGTGGTACATATCTAGTTCATGATCGTGGACAAGGGGATGTGATTGAGAGACAGGCAGAGCATTGGATTCAGATATTGTGGGTAAGTGTTATTAATACCCTAGGGAAAATGAGGACTGAGGTTTTGTTGTGAGTTGAGCAGTTATGGTTTAAGTTAATAATGGGAAATTTAAAGGCAATAACCTCTGGAATACTGTCTAAGTGACATGCTTAGGATCAAACATTTAGTCATTCCACCATTGACACTTAGTCAACATATTTACTATCTATAAGATGCACTGCAGACATTTCACAGAGTCACAGAGTCATACAACACAGAAACAGATCCTTCAGTCCAACCAGTCCATGCGAACATAATCCCAGACTAGAATAATCCCAAGAGCCTGCGCTTGCCCAAATGCCTCCAAACATTTCTTATTTATGTACTTATCCAAATATCTTTTAAATGTTGTAACTGTACTCACATCCACCACTTCCTCTGGAAGTTCATTCCCCACACCAACTACTCTCTACGTAAAAAAATTGCCCTTCATGTCTTTTTTTAAATTTTTCTCCTCTCCCCTTAAGAATATGCCCCCCAAGATCCTTTGTGATCTAGAAGGACAAGGGCTGCATATACATGGGAGCACCACCATCTGCAAGTTTCCCTTCAAGCCACTCACCATCCTGACTTGAAAATGTATCGCCATTCCTTCAGTGTTGATGGGTCAAAACCCTGGAAAAGATACATGGCTTATGGAATGGTATGGGACTTGTGGATTTTGATCCAAAGGCTACTGACATCAGATTTGGGAGAAGACAGAGCTGTATCATAAGAATGAGCTCTGCTTAAGGTGACTTGGACAAGTTTTCTGGCATGAAATAACTAAGGTTTTTGAATGAAAAGGATGGATGATGGAGCTAGTGTTCAAATGAGGCTAGTGTTAAAGAAAATGGTATAACCATAGAGCAGTGATTTGGGTACAGATCAGAAGATTGCAACAAGAAAGATCAAGAGCTGTAATTTTCCCATGGGGGCTGTCAAGGAGTGAGATTAATCTTGATGTTCCAATCTGACTTCCTTGACGACCGTGCCAACGGATAGCATTTTCATCTCTTGGAGGTGAGATGGCATAATGTCAGGCTGAACACTGATGGCAAGCTCAATGTGGGGTTAGAGGTAATTCAATGCTGCCCATTTAACATGTCAAGCTCCAATTCGAGAAACAGTGACCTAATTCTTCAGATCTTTAAAGTCCCTCATAATTTAGCATATCCCTTTAGCATCATTGACCCCTCACATTTAACCCCCTTAGCTACTGACTTCTTGCCAACCCTATTTCACTGCTCTACCTAACCAACTCAATCACCCACTATTCACTTTACAACAAAACTCACAATCCTTTTAATACCATTTAGAAAATCAGTCGGTAAATGTCCATTGAACACACAGTTAAGAACATCCTCTCCAGAATCTTATACAAACATATGAAGTGGAAGCAGGAGTAGACCTCTGAGCCCCTTGAGCCTGCTCTGCCATTCAGTAAGATCATAGCTGATCTGATTACTCCATATGCATACATTCTCCCAATAATCTACTTTCCTCTGCCTTAGAAATTTTCAAAGAATTTTCTTTTGCCTTTTGAGGAAGAGAGTTCCAAAGACTCACCACCCTCTGAGAGAAAAAAAAACTCCTCATTTCTATCTTAAACGGATGACTCCTTATTTTTAAACAGATTGCCCTAGTTCTAGATTCTTACAATGCTTAGATTCTTCACTCACTAGGATGTCTGTTGTCAGAAGCAACAACCTGATAACCACATTATTTAACAGTCATTTATTTCCTATATCGCAGCACTGCCATAATTTGCTCCTGATACAACATAGACTGTAGCATTTCATAGTGATTTGTAAATGAGGCAACATGATTTTTGTTTACCTTTTAAACTCTTCCCACTTCCATTCTGTGGATCACACACTAACTCTGCTGGTGTGATTGAGGAAGGCTTCCAAAATACAACCGTCTTGATTTGAATTCCATGTCATTTGAGATGTTTATTTCCAGTGTAGTACTGGCAACATAAAGTTGCAGCTTGCACACTTTTCAACACGTCCCATATCCTTTTCTGTTCAAAATACTTGGAGTTGGGTCCTCCTCTTTGTTGATCAGTAGTCATTTTCTTCTTAATTCTGACTCATGTGGTCCTTAATTGGATCAGTTTTGGTCACAGAGTCCAACAGTAATAGTGCCTGAGCAAAAAAGTTATGTCCGAGAAAATGATTTTAAAGTAAGTTAAAATTGTATAACCTTTATTTGAAAGCACAAAACATTCATAACTAGATGAAGTAATGACACAATTAATGACTAATATATTTGATAAAGTGGCCATTACAGAGACATATTGCAGCATGACCAAGATTACATACTTAATAATCAATGGCTGTTAATGTTTTGAAAGGTCAGACATAATGGAAAAGTTGGGTGGTAGAATTGCCAAACAATGACATAAGGATAATTGTGAGAAAGGAGCTTGGCTAGCAATAATAGTGAAATCAGTATTGATTGAGATTTGAAATAGCAAGGCATCGAAAACATAATGGAGAGTAGTTATAGATGCTCTTCTTGATAGTAGTTTTGAATTAATTAATCATTAATCATGCAATGCAGGAAACATAACAAAGACAGTGCAACAATTCTTTAAATAATCCACAACCTGGATAAATGAATTTGTGAAGATAGTTTGGAGAGGGAGTTTATGGAATGCATACAAGGCAGATTCCTAGAATAAGACTACATTATGGAGGCAACCAGTGAACAGCCTATTTTAGACCTCGTCATGAATAACAACACAGGATTAATTGGTAATCTCTAGGGCACAAGTTGTCACGATATGAAAATATTTCACAGTGAGTATGAGAGTGACCCGATACGTGTGCAACTGGACTCTTAAGGTTAAGTAAAGGTAATTACTTTGTTATGGGATTGAGTTGGTTATGGCAGATTAACAAATTTGACTAAAAGATTAATAAAATGATAAGTAGGCAATTGTGAGCATTTAAAAGTATTTCAAAATTATTAATGAATATTCATTTTGTTGAGAAAAACATCTCCATGGGAAAAAATTGATCTGCCTCTAACTAAAGACTTTAAAGATAATTTTAGGTTAAAAGAATCAGTTCATTATGCAAACTGAGTAGTGATCTCAAGGATTAGAAGGGTTTTTAAAGCCAACAAAGGATATCCTAGAAATTGTTAGCAAGAGAAATGAAATCTGAGAATAAATCAGCAAGAAATATAAAATCTGATTGAAAGATTGTATGTACATATTAAAGAAGATAAGGTAAACAAGGTCTTCCTTTGACGCTCAAGTAGGAGAAATTATAATGGGAAATCAGGATATAGCAGAGGCATTGAACAGATATTTAATGTCTATCAGCTGAATTCACCCACTTACTGTCATTGTGGTAGAGATTGAACAAAGCACACGCCAATGTCAAAAAGCTACCAAAGAGACAGATATGTGGTGTAGTAATGTTTTTGAATTTTTAAGCTGTATTAAAGCACTGAGGGGGTAATTGGGCAAATTTAATTGGCAAATATTTTATAAACATATAGACGTGCAGTACAACTAACGTTTTAAAAAAATTTTCTGCCGTATTGAAGTGCGGCAGGCTAACTGTAAAGTTGTCATAGTCCTACTGGACCATAGGGCTGCTCTGTCATGAAAGAGATGACTGGAGATGGTTTAACCTGAAGGTCGCCACACTTTAGGGCAAAGGGAGAGTTTGAGAAGGAGAGTCCTGCATGTAACCACAGCCTGTGCAGGAATTGAACCCATGCTGTTGGCATCACTCTGCATCACAATTTGGTGGGACTATGCCAACTTTAATGCGAGGTCGCTGGACAACTTCAGTTGATTCATGTTTTGTGTGCATGTGTTGTGATTTCACACTTATGAGGCAGTCATGAACAAATACTGTAAATGTTTTATTAATTATTATCGATGCAAAAACACACACACTAGGCAATCAAAACGTATTGCAAGTGGGTATACACATCACTGTTATACTTTATTTGCAGCATAAGTCGCTTAATTATAATGCAGCTTTGCCTTAAATAAAACCTACTGGCAAAGAGCCTTCTCACTCGCACCCTCAACTGACTGCACTGATATTGCCAAGATTGCGATGATACAGTAAGCTTCTGGTATTTCAGGTATTTAAGTTTTGCTGGTTAATTGAGAGTGCTGGTTCATAAGATGCCGATTAAAACAAAGTTTGCTGTACTGGAGAATTAAAGCATATCAGCATGTTATTAGACTAAGATAGTTGACAAAACATATGACTAGATATTTGGTGATTTCAAATGATTATGATGATGATCGTGGAGCTGATGGTGGTATATTCCAGAGTGACTGATCATCCTGCTTTGCAACATGGTCAATTTTTGTGAAATTTTAATTTGTACATGACTCTGTAACTCAGTCAGTCTGATAATCCTGCCACATTATTATACAGTGTAAATTTCTGTGGTTTAATGATTCAATGTGTTTAAATTCTTTCAGTCACCATCTTTAACCTCTTAATTTAAAAATGCGAAGAAAGAAGAATCTTGATTTTGATCTAAATTTGGTCCTTGCTGGTTTGGCAGAGCCAAGGGAGAGGAAAGCAGGTGGCATAGTGGACTTGCAATCCACAAGCCAAGGCCAACATTCTGTGGACATGCGTTTAAATCCTACCATGGCAGATTGTCATGTTTGCATTCAATAAAATCTGGAATAATGAGCCTTTCTGGTAACTATGTAACACTCGATTGTTATAAAAGAAACCCACCCGTTTCATTGATGTCCTCTTGGGAAAGCAATCTGCTGTCCTCACTTGACCTGGCTTACACGTGACTATAGACACACAGGGATGACTCTTAACTGCACATTGGGCAATTAGGGATGGGCAATAAATACTGGTCGAGCCAGCAATGCCCACATCCCATTAACAAATAAAAAACTCTCCATTGATAGTTCAGTGGGTTTCCATACTGCCCAGAATAGCTGCTAAACCAGAAAAGCCTCAGGTTTGGTCCAGAACCTTTTCTGCATAGTTGGGGGTTGCAAAGTGACACGGTCACCTGTGATATGGAGGAGTAAGTTAAACAGGGCTCTTTGACTCTTGATGGCCAACCAGTGACACCATTTGGAAATGCTTCTTGAGAAACAATGTATCAAGCTTTCATACAAACAGCTACTTGGGAAAATTCTTTGAGGGTGACCAGCATCAATGGAACCACAACCTAACAAGGAGTTCATACCTTCAGGAAGCTGAGGGAGAAAACTGGGCGAAAAAAATTTGGAGCCACATTGGATTGTAATCCTACTTTTGCTGTTATTGTATTTATGTGTATTTATTTCTAACTTTTTCTCCAAGTTTTCAGCATTACCACCTAATGTAAGGGCCACCGTGGCTGGCGTACAAAGTGGAGTCACATCCGGTAGTTCTGCATTTTCAAGTCCTGGCAGAGTGCCACCACTGCCACCTCCTACATCTGGGCCTCTTCCTCCTCCTCCTCCTCCTCCTCCTCCTCCACCACCACCACCACCACCACCAGCAACAGGGATTAAGGGAGGACATTGGTCTCCGCCTCCTTCTACACTACCATATGGATTGAAACCGAAGAAAGAGTTTAAACCAGATCTCAACATGAAGAGAGTCAACTGGTGTAAGGTATGCGTTTTTGAAAATAAATGCTTAATGGACACTTCTGTGTGTGCTGCTGAAACAGTCTTTTTGCTGTAGTTTCAATAATATAGCAACATATGTTTCTTTCTTTTTGTGTTTTGTGATTAGTAATATATTTAACATGTGTGTATTTCTACACAGTCATTTTTCTTGCAAATTTCCATTTCTCACATTGCATGTCAAATCATGCATCTATTATTCTTCATTGTTGATACCATCAGACCTATGTGGCCCATTTAATCTTAAATGTATTAGATAATGGTTGGAAAATTGACTTGCATTGTTCAATCACATTTTATATTAACTGATTAGAATTTCAAATCATTGAGTCGGAGTATTTGATTTATGTGTGAAATGATTGTACCCATTCTTATCAATAACTTCAATTTAAAGTTAATAAGTTTCACAAATAGTTGTTTCACCATACAGAGCTTGAGTATTGCTTAAAAAAAACACACTTTCTTGAAACTTTTCATCTTTCACTCATCAGGGCATTTTGCAAGAATACCAGTTCAAAAGAAAAGTAACATTAGTACCGTATGACAGGGGAATGCTGCTTGCTTGGAAGTCGACTCTGATTGTTCAAAACATTGTGATAGAGAATAGGCTCATTACTGCTGATAGGTAGTTAACTGCCAGGCTCTGTTTATTTTTTAAATCAGGCAAAATGACTCGGATTGGTCAAGGCACTGCCCTGAGAAATGGGCCGGCAAATAGTTTTTCACTTATTTTGTTGAGTTGAGACAGGTGCAACACATGTAAATGTTCTGTCTGTCTCAACTCAACAAAATAAGTGAAAAACTATTTGCCGGTCAATTATAGTAATATATGTAGCTCCCACACATAACACTGTGAGCCCAGCTGACAATCCTAAATTAGTTGTATAAATAATTTTGGACACTTGTGTTTTGCAAGCACAGGCTGATTGGGTATAGACAGTGCCTTGCTTGTTGCAAATCACTGACGTGATATATTATTTGATTTAATACGCCAGTCTCAGGGACATAAGGACTACATATCTGGCATTGAAATTCTTATACAACGTTAAAATACAGGGCCCTGTTCTTTGCAGACAGGAAGAACATGTACATGCACTGCACCTATTTAACTGAATAAAATGAGTGACAGCCATACGCTGGTTCATTGCCCTGACTAGCCAGAGTCATCCTGCCTGATTAAGAAAGTTAAACAAAGCCTGACAGTTAACCGTGAATCAGCATTATTGGATGTATCCTGCATGGAAACACCTCTCCCACTCAGATTCCACTTACCAGTCAATCAACATTTCTGTTTCATACAATATAAATGTTGATTTTTCCCTTGAATTTGTACCCTTCTGAAGCATATTGATTAGTGCGAGTTTCAAGTAAAGCTCCAACAAAATGTGTTTTTTTTTTGGTAGTACTTGACAATTATCTGAATATTCTTCAAATAAGTGAAGAACATTGATTTGTTAGAATTTGCAGTATGAAAAATGGCCCTTCAGCCCCTCAGATCCATGATGGTCATCAAGGATCATTACTTCTTCATGTTGTAACTCATGATGTCACTCTGCCATTGGTAATGCTGCAAGTTTGCCGCTGGATCCATGCCCCTGTAATATCCAGAGCATTGCTGCTCCTTTCGAGCGTGGAAGCACAGGAGGTCACTTTTGTGATCATCATTTGATTTTGGTGCCTTGGTTGGTTTACATTGCTTGGATATTGAATGTGAGATGTGGCAGCATTCCCCGTGGTTTTCGTCCTTTTCAATTCCTGATTTAGAGTTGTTTTTTCAGATATTACTTGTACCCTGTCTAGTGAAGATCACTGGAAAATATCTGTTCAATTTGTTTGTTGTCCCTTTATCCTTACTGATTTGTCATATTCATTTTCTGTAGGACCAACATGAGTTTATTAACTCTTCGTTTTTAAATATCTGAAGAGACTTTTCCGGTCTGTCTTTATATTTTTGGCTCTTGTACTCAAATTTTTCCCTCCCCATCAATCTTTTAGTAATTCTTTAGCTTTTTTAAAAAATAATCTTCCATTTTCTGACCTGCCATCTATCTTTGCACAATTTCTTTCTTTCTTTGAGTTTGATACTAGCTATGACTTTTTTACTTAATCACAGATGGTGGGTCATCCCTTATAATTTTTCTTATTATCGATTCTGCGCTTTCTGGAATATCCCTTAAACTGTATGTATAATTCAATCCTGCTATGGTTACTGCTACTCTGGAATGCTTTCACTATGAGGTTAGTAATTAATCCTATCTTGTTGGTCAAAATCAGGTCCAGTGTAGACTGGTCTCTGGTTGGTACTTTAGCAAGATGATCTAAGAAATTGTTTTGAAGGCATGCAATGAATTTCACCTCTAGACCACATTTTCCCATCTGACTTTTTTAGTCTATATGTATGGCAAATTCCTCCATGATGATTGCAGTACCCTTTTGACAAGATCTCATTACATCTTATTTGATACCCTGTCCTACTTATATAGTTATTGTTAAGGAACCTGTACACAACTCCCACATGTGACCTCTTACCTTTATCATTCCTCCTCTCTACCCAGACTGCTTCTTTATCCTGATTTCCTGAATTTAGGCCATTCCTCTTGATTGTACCAATATCATCTTTAATCTCCTCCACCCTTTCCATTGCCTTTCCTTCCTAGATGTCACCTACTCTTCAATGTTCAGGCCCCAAACTACATCATCCTGCAGCCAGATCTCAGTAATGACCATGAGATCGGACTTCGTTATCTCAGTTTATTCTACTTGTTCATTTGTTTTGCTTTGAATACTATGTGCATTTCTGCTATCCTTGTCCAGGATGAAACCCGTTGGAAGGGCCTGAAGGCTGACAGGTCACCAGGCTTGCATCGAAGGGTTTTAGAGGAAGTTGCTACAGAGAGAGCAGAGGCATTGGTTGAATTACTGTAGAATTCACTAGATTCTGGGAGGGATCCAACAGATTGAAAAACCACAAATAGGACACCCCTGCTCAAGAAAAAAGGGAGGGAGAAAGCAGGAAAATGTAGGCCAATCAGCCTAATATCTGTTTCAGAGATAGTAGGAACTGTAGATGCTGGAGAATCTGAGATAACAAAGTGTAGAGCTGGATGAACACAGCAGGCCAAGCAGCATCAGAGGAGCAGGAAGGCTGACGTTTCGGGCCTAGACCCTTC